TATAATATATATATTATATATATATATATATATATATTATATATATATTAATATATTATATATATATTATATATAATATATATATATTATATATATATATATATATATATATATATATATATATATATATATATATATATATATATATATATATATATATATATATATATATATATATATATATATATATATATATATATATATATATATATATATATATATATATATATATATATATATATATATATATATATATATATATAATTATTAATTAAGAATATTATTATATATCATTTTACATTTATCAACTAATAAAATTGTAACACCCCTTATATGTACATCTAGAATAATATGTACCGGTGCTATAAATGATACATAAAAACATACAAAAGTAGGAAAATGACAAATAAAATTGTATACATTACTATGTAGACGATTGTATACAATACATATGTTTACAATAATGCACAACTGAAAGAAAAGATCTCATGAAGTCTTTTTGCCATCTGCTCATCCCCAGTCTTCAATGCAGACCATCTAGCTATTCTTCCACTCTAACCTGTACTTGAAAAATGATAATAGGATTGGGGTAAAATTATTAAATCTGAGTGAGTCCTCCTATCTTATGGGTCCTCTCGGCTCTACAGGGTACATGCATCAAAACGGATCCTCCATTGATCCGGGGTTTGCTCGTAATTAAGTACAAGAATACACAACAACACATAGCACCACAACTGGGAGACCCTTGACCACCCAATTATCAATCACATAAACAGTTTATCGGGTACCATTTTCCTCCATAATAGGTCTTTCGGGTTTACCTGCTCGCCTTTTGTCGGGAGCTACCCTCAAGGCCGGATCTTTTGGATTTACCTGCCTCTCTGCTATCAGAAACTTCCCCCACGTCACACAAGGTTAGTACAAACAAGTATGCAGACTTGTATCCGTGTACGAGGAATCCATAAGTAGTATATGCTTGTTACCTAGGTCACACAAGCACACCCTCGATGAGTAGTCCAAGTGTCTAACGTCAAGAGACTTGCACAAGCACACCGTGTAACGCCCGTTAATTTAATTAGTTGTTTAATTGAATTATTTTTGGATTATTTGTTAAAGTTGTGAGATGTTGAGAATTGTTGGTATAAGTTGTTAGATTATTATCAATTAATTAGTTAGTTGATTAATAATAATAATAATGTTGGAATTAATAGAACAATTGTGTTGGGCTTATGTTATTGGTTGGAAGAAGTAATGTAGGGGTGTGTAAGTTAGGCCCAATAGAATTGATGATATAAGGTTAAGCTGACACGAGGGTTTTTTTGGAGAACAAGGAGTCTTGTGCGTTGACCGTGTGAAGCCGCGCGAAGAGAGGAGCAAGCTGCCCGGTGTCGAGTAGAACAAAGCAAGGTTGTCGGCTGGGATTTTGGTAGAGCGACCTTCAATCCAGATAAGAGTGGGGTTCTGGCCTTATAATGGGATTTATGATGTGTATTATGTGGGAATTGGTCGTTTGTATGACTGTTGTGCGTTGATGTTTCTGAATCCGTTTTTGAAGTTGCTTGTTTCCCCATGTCGTGGTCGTTAGGAAGTTACCGTATGACTGTCTTGCATGGTTAGCGAACTTGTTATTGAGTTGGTCGTTAGCCGTGTTGTGGGCGTTTGGAGTTGTCTGAATAATTTCCCGGTATAATTTATGGATAGGTTATGGTAGTTATCCCCTGATGGTGTAGGCGTTATGATGTTGTGGTATTCCGAGTGGTTGGCCGAAAATTAGGGATTATTGTTGTGGTCGCTATAGGAATGGTTCAGCGTGACTGTCTTGTACAATTAGTGAATCGGTTGAAAGTAGATATAGTTGCCAGTTGTTGTGTTATTCCGAGCAGTTGGCCGGAAATCATGGATTATGTTGTGATGGTTGTTATGTTGTTGTATTATTCTATGTTGTTGGCCGGAATTAGTGGTCGAGGAGGATGCTAGTGGTGTTAGGTGCCGAGAGGCATATAGGCTGCGAGGTGTGTCGGAGAATATATGTGTTGGATGTCGAGCGATATTAGGCTACAAGGCGTGATGAGGAGCATAATATTGATGTCGAGCTCCACGAAGCTAGAGGTTGTGTCGAGGAGCATAAGTTGGTTGTTATTCTTCTTTGTTTTTGTGTGTGTCGAGGTGTATTGAGTTAGTTATTATTTTGTCTTGTTGTTGTGCATGTCGAGGGGCGCGTAGTTCTTCATATCCATTTTGTCCATACATGTTAGTTTGGTCGATACCAGTGCTGTATAAGTTGTTCTAAGTTGAGAAAATGCAGGTTGATGAATTATGTTGAGATGCCTCTAATTATGAGCAGATATGATGTTGTAGGCTTATGGCCAAAGTTGAATCATGTTGATGTTGAATTGTTGTTGATGTTGTAGGCTTATGGCCAAAGTTGAATTATATTGAGTTGATGTTGAATTGTTGTTGGTGTTGTAGGTTTATGGCCAACATTGATATATGTTAAGTTGTTGTTTGTTGTTGTTGTTGCTACATTCATGTTGTGCCCATACATTGCATATCAAGTTGGAGCTGATGCTCGTTAAGTTGGTCTGAATTGGAAAAATATTAAGTTGAAGACTTATGTCTTGTTGATGCCTCTATTTATTGGCAGATTTTTAAGTTGGGAGTTCTGCTCCATTGGTACTATATGCATTTACATAAAGACAAGTTGCATTTTTTGTTGCATTTTGTGTCGTTGTGTGGTTGAGTTGATTATGCTTATGTTGTTATTAATTGTGAAGTGATGATTTTTCCATGAACTGATTCTAATATAATGTTTATTATGCATCTGATTATATTATTCGATATTTCACCCCTTATGTTTGAATGTTATCCTGATATTGATAACGTGCAGGTAATCCAGAGTGAAGGCGGTTTACCTTCAGTAGTTCGAGTCAGTGTCATTGCTCTGATACGTAACACTCGGGGGGATGCACGCTTGCTATTTTATTATTGTTATTATTTTGTTGTTGCACTTTAAGTTATTGTTCATTAAATAACTGTTATTTGAAGTTGTTTTAGTTGGACAAAGATGTTATATTCTTTAAGTTGAATACTTGATTCCGCTGCGTAGTTATGAAAGTTGTTGGTTTTAAAAGATTAACTTATATTGTTGTTGGTTCATCCAAGTTTAATGTGTTATGTATCTGTAATGAATGTCGTTATTTTAAGTTGAATTTGTAGCATCTTGATTTAGTTGTGGAAGTTTTATAACTCTGATTTCATATTATAATTGTCGGGTAGAATTGGGGTATTACACATCGCGCGATGAATTAGATGAGTTAATAAGTGCAAATTATAGTTATTTTTGTATATATTTTTTGTTGCACTTATCGACTCTTTGTTGTTAATAATCGTTGAATAAACCTGACTTTTATGTAAATACGTTTAGTTTGTGTTTATTTGTGTTTTGTGTACATAGTGTACCGTTTGATGTTTTTCCATTCATTTTGTAGGTATTTTTTGCATTTTGGAGCATCGAAGAATAAGGTGTCGAAGGCAAGTCTCCGGATGCGCGTTTTCGAAATAAAAGACCAGTTTTGAGAAGTTTTGCCCAGGAGAACCCGCTTAGCGCGTAAAAGGCTGCTAAGCGCGAGTGTGCTCAGTGCATTTTGTAGCGTGCTACTTGCGTTTTGACAATTTGGCAGAAGCTTAGTTTTGGAGCCCGCTTTGAACAGTTTAGGTCGGTTTAATGTGTAAATATCGCACAACCCGCTTAGCGTTGTGATCCCGCTAAGCGCGGTCTGCTGAGATTTGTTTTATAACTTCATTTTCAGTTCATTTTTTGTTATTTTTTTTGGGTGTTTTTGTTCCTAAATTCCATCAACTTCATTTTTGATAGATTAGCTTAGAAAACAACACCATGGCTTTGCTTATGGATGATTGGAGGTGGATTTCTCATCGACCGGCGCTGACAAACCGAAAGATTTGTGGTTTATCTCTTTTCTCTATGTATTTATCTTTTGTTGGATTTTGTATGTATTTTTACTTTGAACTCGTGTATATTTGTCGCCCGTGGCGTTATATAAAACTTGTTTTACAAATCTTTTTCGATTGTTATCCTTGATTTTTGCTATGTGCTAGGGATTTGAGTTTCTATAAACATATATTGTTTGGATTCTTATCTAGGATGATTATCTATTAATTTCTGGATTCTATAAATAGATTTAGAGATGACATTCACTTAGGGTGTCTGTGATTAATGTCTCTGTGTTATTTGTGTCGCTCTGAGAGATCGTCGATGCAAGCGAACATGGTTGACTTCTGTGTTGTTAAAGTTGGTTGAGAGATCTCCACTAAAGTGATACAGTGGGTGTTGTGTTTGACATGTGATGATATTGATGAATATTGTAGGTTGAGTATAACTTGTCGATAGGTTTTAAGTTTGTGACGACTATAGTACATTAGAGTCGGATAAGTTTGTCTTTCATTTTATACATTTATTTTTTGTTGATACCTTTTACCTTTCATTTCAATCTATTCAAACCTCAAACTCATTAACAAAAGATTTGTCGAACGACATTTCAATACACCAATCTTTGTGGACACGATACGATATAACCTAAATATCACCCGGTAAAATAATACTTTACTTTTTGCTTTCCACTTTACCGCTTCCAGCATGAGTCAAAAGTGATTGACGCCTACTTGGCTACACAATCCCATCTTTGATGAGTTAACAAAGTGGCATTGCCTAAGTGGTGTCATAACCCTGTCCATCATCTACACGCAGGTGTGAACAACGAGTGCAAACATGTCAACATAACTGCACAAGCTCGTTGGGCGAAAGCCTAATAATATTGCCTATGTGGCATCACTAGAGGCGGGTCCGAAGTGATATTTTTTACATGGCATCACAACCTCTACCATACCAAGCAAGCAGATGTGAACAGCGAGTGAGGAAACACCCTATAAGACCCCCACAAGCACATCGCAATGATAACTCGGGTGTGTACAACATACCGATAACACCGTTGTGAACAACAAGTGAGAAACACCCTTTAAGATCCTCATATGCATATCGCAGCGGTAGTCCATTGGAACCAAATCCATCATCATCTTCACGTGATTTACCACCTAGTAGCTTCGGGCTGCTCCGATTCAAGCATACGTCACAATCAACCACTTTCAAACGTTCAACCAGAACGAACGGGAACACAACCAAATAATGATCGCATCACAATATTTATCAACATAATGCATTTACTTAAGCATACATATAAAAGTTACATACAAGTGATCGTATCATGGCATTTTCAATCCACAACACATACTATGAGTCATAAGAGACAAAGGAGGCATATAACTCGCGTTACAGAATGGAACTGCGCTTAGGAGAATCAAATTATAAAATTATACTCCAGAAGTTTTGCTAAGCGAACTAGCAGCGAAAGGTACTTCACTAAGAGAAGTCCCAGCGAACTCAAACAGAAGCAAAACTCAGTTCTGTAACTGGGTAGTTCGCTAAGTGAAAATAAGTTCGCTAAGCGAAAGTCCTGAAACTTAGAAAACCAGAACTTACAATTATGCACCAAAATATATTAAATGTCAACCATGCATCCATCACTCAGGTTAAGAGGAAATATACAACATGTATAACCAAAGTTCGACAACGGGACATGAGATTAACACAAAGAGTAACATTCCATAGACATATTCTTAAGGTTATTCATTATTATCATTATCATGCAATACCAAATTCATTTGCCATATTTAATAACTGAATTAAAAGCATGATATCAAAGCATATTCATAAAGAGTATTAAAAGACCTTTCTAATACTTTCGACCGTGCTCCGTTTTGAGTTGTAAAATTCAAGTTATGGTCATTTTAATAGAAACACAATTTTGGTTCAATCTGCTAACTTTCGCTAAGCGAAGCAGAGTTCGCTAAACGAACTTCGACAGTAGCAGAACACGAATTTAGGATTCTACAGCCCCTTTTTGCATTCCAACCCGAATCCCCAACATATATAAACATTTCAAGACATACAAATATATCAAGAGAACACATATTTCACCAATTAATCAAATATCCAACATGTTTATCTCACCCTAAACCCATAACAAGCAAATGATCAATTTTCTACCCAAGTTTCTGTCTATGGAACTCACCTTGATTGAAGAAGAACTTCTGATACAGAAACAAGATGGGAAGTATGAAGAGCTCCAAGATTTGATTGCATGCAAGAGATGAATATAAACGTTTGATGTTGATTCCCTCTCTTTCCTCTTCTTTCACGTTTCTTCTTCTTTCCTTTCCAAGAGTTTTGTTTTGGCAAATTAAAAGAATGAGGTTTGCATCCAAACAATCTCTTAAATTGCTCATTTAATTGGTATAAAGATCACAATACCCCTCCAACAATGCAATAGTTATCAATTTGCCATTTAATTCAATTCTAACTAAATCCTCATGATTTCAACTATTTCTCATTTAGTACCATTAGGTATAGAGATTTGAGATGTATCTCTTAATCTTTCACACTCATACTTTAAAAAATATGGGATGTTACAAAAACGGTTAATTTATTAAATATTTTAATTAATTTATCAACTATTAGTCACCAATTGATTATCAGTTAGCTTAACTTATCGACTATCGTGTCTAATTTTTATCAAAAAGAACCTTATTAATTTTTATTCATAGATATTACCATTGACCTCTATTTTAAAAAATAGATTAAATGCGTTAGTTATTTAATTTAAAATTAAAATATTTTTTATAATAGAGACGGAAGAGAGTAATTGATAATTGATTGATATTTTCAATTTTTATCCAACATTATTGGGGGCTAAGTTCAGGTGAGTTTGCAAATAAAATGGTGGAGTAAGGAGTTCAGAGTCCTCTTATATAACATTAATTCCAATTGTAGTGTGTTTTACTGCCAATTATAGTGAAATTGCACTCCAATTGTACAGGATTAGAGGAAGCAATAGTAAGTTTGTAAATTCAAACTAACTTTCAGTTTACTGACTTTAAGGTTATGTTTGAGAGTTTTAACACTATGTTTGAGTTTAGAGGAAAAGAGAAGACTTTGAAAATTATGAAAGATTTAGTGAAAAGAATAAAAACATTTTATTTTAGAGGGTTTTGGACAGTTTGTATTTCTTAATAATACTAAAAACCCTCTAATTTGAGAGAATTCAAAATTTATATTGGAAGAGTTTTGGAGGGTTTAATAAATTTATTGAAATATAATTTTGTTGTTTTAGTATTTCAAAAACTAAAAATACATTAATGATAAACATTATTTTATCATTCTAAATAAAATCTTCTTTTCGAAAAATGTTCAAATTTTCTTTATATTTTTAATAAAAAAATCATTTTTGGAAGTCTTCTTTTTCCCTTCCCTCCAAACTCCCAAACATAGCCTAAATATAATAATACTGAATTGGCCTTGAGTCATGAAGAGGGTGTTACAATAATGTAAATTATATACTCATTCATGACAAAAGCATGGTCACAATTCAAGGGAATGTTCATAAAAAAACCATATCCAAGTAAGCCAAAAACCCAAGTGAAACTTCAAATGAAATCATTAAGCTTCTACTTCTTGGACGTAACAGCTTGAATAACTTTCACCATCCTGGACAAGATCTATACGTTTGACTACAGAGGAGAACTAAGAAGCCCAACCTTTTATGTCAAAAAGATAGAGCTTCAGCAGTGCCTCATTTTAAATCTCCACCACTCAGTTGTCAATCCTCAAAGAATGTGGAACTGAGCAAGACCTTCACCCCATTCTCCTTCAATTACGTTTGAAGAGCAACTTAAAAGATCAAAACTCAGGATCAAAGTGAATCAACCATCAAAAGATAAAATCGCTTAGTTGCGTAGGTTTCCCTCTGAGGCCATTGTTTTTTACAATATATGAACTTCCTTCTGCATCTGCATTCAAACAATTCATCCTGTGCCTGACCCAAGGCAGAAAAAAAGTTATTTGAGTGGAACACAGAAAATTGAAACAAAGAGGGGTTCAAGATGTATGACAAATGAAGGCCACAAAAAAAATGAAATAAAATTTTATCATTTCACCATTTCCCAAAGAAATATTTGAAAATAAAATTGAAAATCAAGGCTATTTTCCAAAATGAGGGGAAAGGTAACTCAACTAATTTGAACTAGATGAATTAAGGGTTAAAGAAGCTTGCGGTCCTAGGTTCAAACCATCGTAAATGGCAAAAAAAACATTAACCTAATTACTAACCTTGGCCATTTAAAAAAAAAGGCTATTTTCCAAATTAAATGTGTAAAAATTAAAATAAAAAATAAAAACACAAGCCAAACAGAAGATACTAAATAAATAATAAAACACAAGCTTAATTATATAATCAATAGGAAAGAAATTACATATTAAAATCAATTTTTATTTTATGAAGAAAATGGTAATTGTGTTAATACTAATTTTTGCTGTACCAACTATGATTTTACTCGGTTAAGACATCCCTAGGCATGTAACCAAACACGGGTCACCGTAAATACTGTAAGCATCCTGTGCCCAGACAATCAAAATTCCAGGACATTTATAAAAATAGAAACCAAACACCTCCTGTTTAGGAGTAGCAACAATACTTACCACATGAAGTGATCTTCACAGCATATAGAACCTGATATAATTGAAAACCCAGCTCCTTTCCTTCACATAACAAGTAAATTACATATCTGTATTTAGCTAATAAGAGAAGGGGACAAAAGCTGATATTATATTAAAACATAAACACAAAAGACCAACATATCTGCATTGTGTACATGTATGCATGACAGTAGCTAACTAGGTTAAATATTGAACAATCAATATTCTGATCCTGTTAAACTAAAAGTCGTAGGAGTCTGTGCTATCAAGCTCCCGCTTAGTGAAGCTTATTGCATAAACACTTTGATTAAACCACAATTTTTTAAAGCAAATTGATGAGATGAGAAATTGAAGATATCTACCATGTTGCAGTATACATGTCATAGAACTTTTCAAAGGCTTTATCGAAGCAATAGTGACAAACCAAGAGATCTTTGATGTCAGTGACCCTGCAAGTTGACTTGCAGCATTTAACCTACAGCAACATAAATTGACATGAGTGATTAGCTGTAGGGTGATGAATCAAGGTCGTCATTCAAAGGTGTGTTACAAGTAACACATATATATATATATATATATATATATATATATATATGCATACATGATACCTGTTTAATGGTATCTCTTGGGTCGCATGACCCACATACCTTGTGTAAAATGGTTTGTGGAGAATCTCACTCTCACTCTTTCTCTCTCCCTTAATCAGTTTGGGTAAAATGGTTTGTGGAGAATCTCACTCTCACTCTTTCTCTCTCCCTTGATCAGTTTGGTTCAACGGAGGGTAGAGATTTTATTCTTATATATATTTGGTTCTGATAAGCATGGTCCAGGATAGACCATTATGACAGAAGTTGATCCACATAGCCGAGCCCACTTACTGGGTTAAGGCCTGGTTGTTGTATATGTTTGGTTCTGATAGGATATAGGATTTGGGCCTTAGCCCAATAGAGAGGCTGAATAGAAAATTGGTTATAACTTCTTATGTTAGAAAGGAAGGGTAGTTTATATAAGGACATGTAGGAAGAGAGAATTCATTGATTGGGTATATTTTTGTCGGCAACCTTTTGGGTTGGGCAGAGTCAGAATCATCTCTCTGAGGAGTATTTGTTCTGGGATTATAGAGATCATTCTCTGTAATAGTTCTTAATTCAATCAATAATACATTTTCTGTTCATCTTAATTTCGGGTTCCTATTAGGTTCATGGAACTTCACACCGTCAACTAATCCATGAAGCCAACCTCATCTAGTAAGGAAAAACTTTATTATTGTTATTTTTGTTGTATGTCCAGATGAAATATTTCATTGTCAAGATTAATACCATGGTAGTGAAAACCGGACTAGACTGACCGGTTGGGAACCAGCCCGGTATCCGGTCTATTACTCACTGAAAACCACGTGGCACTTAAACCCAAAGTAATTATAACAGAACCGGTCATTGAACCGCCTTGTATTGAATTATATATATATATATATGCGCCTTGTATTGAATTAAATTTATTTAAAACTTTTTAACAAAGAATTACAATCCATACACCTGTATATTATGATTACTGCATGAGTTGTCACGACGATGTCTGAAACATCAAATCGACATGCCTGTAGTTACTACCCCTAACAAAGAGGATTAGGCTTCAGTAACTTTATTCCAAGAAAGTCACTTGCCTTTCACTTAATTTCCACCTTACGATCAATTCAATGATCTATATTACTCCACTTTTTTTTTAAAGAAACTAATTAATTATTATATTTCTGATCAAATGTAAAAAAATGAGAAATCCGCAACCACTGTTACCCACCACCCACCCCCTTGTCTCTTTGTCGTCACAACGAAACCAATACCTTGAAAAAACTCGGCATATAGAACTGTAGAGAAGGGATTTGAATTGATGATTCTATGTTAATGTGGTAAACAATTACACGAATATATACAGCAAAGAATTGAGAAACTGAATGCTAATAATAAGGAGTGGAACTAACAATCAATACCTATTCCACTAACGTTACTGGCATGAAAGTAGGAAACTAATTACTGACCTATTCCACTAATGTTACTTGGCAGGAAAGTAGGAAACTAATTACTAACTACTTATTACCCCCAGCAAGCTGATGATTCGGAAGAACGCGAAGCTTGGAACGAAGAAAAGAAACTCTATCTTTGGAAAGTGGTTTGGTGAATATATCGGCTAGCTGATCAACGGATGATACGTGGCCAATTTTGAGAGTACCGGAATCAACCTGGTCACGAAGGAAGTGAAAATCTAGCGCAATATGCTTGGACCGTGTGCTGATAACTGGGTTCTTGGACAAGAAAATTGCACCAACATTGTCACAGAGAAGCAACGGAGGACCAGTAATAGGCACATGAAGCTCAGAAGCAAGAAGATTGAGCCAAAGCAGTTCGGCGGCGGTGTATGCCAGGGATCGATATTCCGCCTCAGTGCTTGAGCGAGCAACAACCTTCTGTTTGCGAGAAGTCCAGCTGATGAGATTAGATCCATGGAAGATTGCATATCCAAACTGAGAGCGGCTGTCGTCCGAATCCGAGATCCAACCCGCGTCTGAATATGCTAAAAAAGAAGTTGCTTGAGTTGGACTGAAGTGGAGAGAGTGTGACAGAGTACCAGCAAGATAGCGAAGTATTCTTTTGACAGCACGCCAGTGATCAAGTGTCGGGGAATGCATAAATTGACAAACCCGATTCACCGCATACGTAATATCAGGCCGGGTGATTGTAGCGTACTGGAGAGAACCGACAGTGCGTCTGTAAAAGGCTGGATTATCAAATGGTTCACCCGCCTTGACTAGACGATGTTGTGGGTCAGCAGGTGTTGTTATAGGAGCAGCAGCAGCAGACATGTTGGTGGACTCCAGAATATCTCTAACATAACCTTCTTGAGTGAGTTGTACCCCAGAATTAGTACGTGTGATTTGAAGACCGAGGAAATAATGCAAGTCTCCCTGATCCTTTAAAGCAAACACCTTGTTAAGATTAATGATAAAGTTATTAATCAAACCTGAATCCGTGCCGGTAATGAGCAGATCGTCTACATATACAAGGATGTAGATTGTTGCAGCAGCAGAATGATGAACAAACAAGGATGTGTCAGATTGACAAGCCCGAAAGCCCTGTGTGATAAGGTAATGCTTAAGCTTGGTAAACCAAACTCTGGGTGCTTGTTTGAGCCCGTAAAGAGCCTTCCGCAATTGACAGACATGATCAGGTTGATGAGAATCCTCAAAACCCTTTGGTTGACGCATATAGACAACCTCGGAGAGCTCACCATTCAAGAATGCATTGTTGATGTCCAATTGCCGAAGACACCATTGGTTGGATAAGGCAATGGACAAGACAAGTCGAATGGTTGTTGACTTAACCACTGGGCTGAACGTCTCAAAGAAGTCTTTACCTGCTTGCTGACTAAAACCTTGTGCCACCAAACGAGCTTTGTGACGCTCGATACTCCCGTCGGATTTGCGCTTTGTCCTGTAAATCCACTTACAACCGACAACATTAACATTAGTAGGACAAGGGACAAGAGACCAAGTACCATTTTTCACAAGGGCATTATATTCTACAGTCATGGCATCTTGCCAATGTTTATGTTTGACGGCTTGTTTGTATGTACGAGGATCAGGTTCAGGTTTAAGAGTGGCAGCTAGGATTTTTGGTTTGAGAGAGCCGGTTTGGGCTCGTGTGGTCATGGGGTGAGTGGAAGATTGGGCTGGTCTGTAGTATGAAGGAACATGTTGTTGATGTTGTTGTGGGGCCGGCGGAGAAGTGGGATGAATTGTGAGTGAGGGCTGAATTGTTGGCTGAATTGTAGGTGCAGTTTGGAACGTGGCCGAAGGTGTGGGCAGCCCAGCAGCTTGCTCTAACAAATCAGAATTTAATTCTGGAGAAGCAGGAGTAGATAAGTTAGACGCCGAATTATGTAAAGAAACAGAATATGGGAATATATGCTCATTAAAGACAACATGCCTTGCAACATATATACGCTCAGTAGGTTTATGAAAACAGAGATATCCTTTGTGAGAAGTACTGTAACCAATAAACACACATGTAAGAGAACGAAAATCAATTTTGTGGTTGTTATATGGACGAAGAAAAGGATAGCAAAGACATCCAAAGGTTTTGAGAAAACCATAATTTGGATCTTTGTGATATAATTGTTGATATGGAGAATGGTAGTGTAAGGTGGGGGTAATGGTTCGATTGTGGAGATAAGTTGCAGTTTTGGAAGCATGTTCCCAAAATTCGTGAGGTAAAGATGATTGAGCCAAAAGAGTGAGGCCTTTTTCAATGATGATACGATTGCGTCGTTCAACCGCCCCGTTTTGCTCTTGTGTGTATGGACATGTAATACGGTGAGAAATACCGTGTTGTTTTAAAAAAATAGAGACATTGCGAAATTCACCCCCCCAATCGGATTGAAGATGTTTGATTTTTGCATTGAATTGTGTTTCAATCATAGTACGAAATTGCACAAAAGTAGTGAAAACCTGTGATTTGTGCGATAGAAAATAAATCCACACATATTTGGTGCAATCATCAATAAACAAAACGAAATACCGATTTCCATTGATTGAAAATTTGGGAGATGGACCCCATACATCAGAGTAAATCAGTTCAAAAGGAGTAGACGACGCAATATGAGATGATGCTAAAGGAAATCGATGGCTCTTTCCAAGTTGACAAGAGTCACAGACATTGGGAAATTTATTTGAAGAAATTGGTAAATTAAATGAGGAAATAAGACGACGCAATAGAGGTTCATGAGGATGGGCAAGCCGCTAGTGCCAGCCGTGGACAAACGTACGGATGCCGGTGAGAGCCAGGGTTGGTCGAGCTTTATTGTGAATGGAGTTAATGCAGTAGAGGCCGTTGTTAATGCCCCCTCGGAGTATAGTTTGACCCTGAAAGGTTTTGACAAGACAATGAGAAGGCCAAAATTCTATATAAACCTTATTATCCTTTGTAAATTTGGATACACTGAGAAGGCTTTTTGTGAGTTTAGGAATAATGAGAACATTAGGCAAGCGCAAATTATGTAAAGTAGAATTGCCAATGTGAGAAATAGATAAAAGGTTACCATTGCCCACTTGCAGCTTGTCATTGCCTTTGTAGTCATCAGAGATGGTCAGCTTCTGAAAATCTGGAGAAGCATGATCAGTGGCACCGGTGTCGAAATACCAAGAAGGATCGATGGCACTTGAAGACGGAGCCTGAGAAGCATAATGAGCCTGCTTTGATGTATTGCGTGGGTTGGGCTTGCGCGAGGGAAAATCAATTTGATTATCACGCTGCCAACAATCAACAGCCTCGTGACCTGGACGCCCACATAATTGGCACTGGGGGCGGCGACGGCGGAACTCACCACCGTTTGCTGCACGAGTGTCGCCTCTAGAGTCGCTCCTGGAATCCCCGCGAGAATAGGCGCCACCAGAATTGTTGGTATTGTATGACCGGCCAGATT